TTTTTTTTTTTTTTTTTTTTTTTTTTTTTTTTTTTTTTTTTTTTTTTTTTGTTTTTTTTTTTCTTGTTTGTTGTCTGAGAAAAAGCTCGGAAAGACGTTGCACGTTTTGCAAGCGCGCCTTTTGCTCTAATGAGCGCTGATCTAGACAGCGACTTTTGGAGGTCATCGACGTCGACGTCGACGTCGCCAAGTTGTCCATCCAATTGTAGCTAAGTGTGTTGTTTGCTTTTGATTTTATTTGATTTGGCTTCTTTTTTTCTTTTTCAAATTGCGAAATGAGTTTTGGCTACGTTTTTGGCCAAAAAATGCAACGACAAATGCAGCGTCAGTTGGCAGCCAAATAGATTCAAGCTACGAGTTGCACCAGTTTCGACCAAACAGCAAAAAAAGAAAACGAAGCAAAAAAAAAAAAGAAGCAAAATCAAAAACTTGTAATCGAAATCAGCCTCCGCTAAAGCGTTTTGCTGCAATTCCGAGTCAAGTGAAGCAGCAAGCCAGCCGCCTGCTGAGGCAATCTGGAAATCCCTGCTTAGCCGCCCCCTTCCCTTACCTACCCTTGCACGTTGCCCGCCCCCTCGCGATTTGGACATGTGTGTTGTCTCGTCTTTGTTTGGGATTCTTTGGTTGCCCTGCATTTGGCTTTATGCTTCGCTTGGCCAGCAACCAGCAAGCGCTCTTAACTACCTTTTTTTATGGGGATTTTATGCACAATATATATGTATATGTATATATGTATAAGTATTTACTCGCCTGTATTTTTATGGAGCAATTGAAGTCGTTGATATGACAAAATGCCACAAGAGTTGAACTTAGTGCAGCTCAATGAATTAATATTATTATCATTACTATGGTTTCTACTAATGGCTAATGGTTCGGCATATTGCAGTTGTAAAAAGATTTGTAACAGACAAATGAATAAATACATGTGAGTTAGTTTGATAGATAGAAATTAGCTGCATTAGAAAATTGATTTCCTATAAGCAATACAAAATATACGATTCATTTCCCTATAATAGAGAGCTAACAGGTCATTTCTTTTTCATAAAAA